AGATCAATAGGATTAGGTAACTTTAAAAAATTCTAATTAATTAAATAAATAGTATATGTACCGGTAGTACATGCACAATGAATATTTAAATTTTTTAACAAAGTACATGCAAAATATTACAGCCTAACAGAAAAACATTTTTCGGATATACGTGTATGACCACATGGTCTAATATACATTTCCATGCCAACAATTAACACTTTTGAGACCAGGTGATGCCTACAGCAAATTGTTCAGCAGAGATACAGCTGATTTTATAATGTTTCAGAGAGATTTTGGGGAAAGGGGATGGGTGGGTGTGGGGGATTAACTGTTTATATTTTCCCTCCCTTATCATTTCAATGACATATGTATTAAGTACTACTAGTGGTAGTACTTTGTCTAGTCTTTGAGTTGAAACAAATGTTGAACATATCTGATAAGAACTGGTATAACTACAGGTGTTAGATACCCTAATCAGTCAGTATCATAATAAACATACAGTAAGGAGTGGATGTTTATGACTATATAGGTAACAGACCAAAACTGGTCCTGCTAAATTCAATCAGCTTATATAGCACTGTTGAGAGCATTCTAGCAGAATTTGTTTATAAATACAGACAATTATCCACATGATCAATATTAAAGGAACATATTAAACACAATTTGATGATTTTTTTATGACAATCCTATTCTATACACTTCTGTAGAAATTTTTAAGATTCTAAATAAAAATATCGTTTTATCGTGTTTATGTATGGAAATTGACAAATTAAAATGACTAACCATGCTAACAGTAAAATTCTAACATTTAGAATAATAAATGTAGGAAGAACTCACTAAATTCATATTTTGAATTTAATAAGTATGACACATAACATTATATTTTATGTTTTGTAGGCATATGTAATATGAAAACTATGTTTACTTAAAAACATAAGTAATCAAAGATTACATAGCTCACCATGACAAATTTTATCAATAAGTAAAGCAAATCTCATGACATCACTTATTTTTCTAGTTGTGTGCATCCCAAGATCAATATCTATGCAAGTTTAGAATAGAACAGGATTTATTACCAAATCAGTGCAGTTTAAGTAGGACTTATAATTACTTGAAAATGGACCTGCAACAAAATTTTGACCTGTTCACTAATCAAGAAAATATCAGTCAGTTCCAACATCCGAAGCAAGTTTGGAGGTGTCCATCGAAAGATGCATCATCCACGCTAGTAAATCTGACATCAGCATGCAGTCATAACATAGTAATCATCTGGAAATTGTAGGTCAAATTTCGCATCTGAAGCAAGTGTCCATCATTAAATCAATTAAAAACATCATAGATTCTAGGGCTGTCACGGTTCCAACATTTTTCGGGTCGGGTCGGTTCTGATTTTTTCAAGTTCGGTTTCGGGTTTCTCGGGTCGGGTAGGTAATGGAAGAAAAGCTCATGATTTGTATTATTTCCACATTTAATCTTAGAAATTGCAGCATTATAACTAGTTTAAAGTAGCCTCCTAGCTGACTAGACAACAATTGTACCAATTAAATTATTTAAATCACCTTTCAGGGTTTCAGATTGAAATAATTTTTCAGTAACTATAGGACACCAGAAAAGTTATAGGCCATTCTGTCCTAATCTTCCTAAAATTATAGGCCAATAGAAAAGTTAAACTAACTCAGATTTCTGTCAGACTTTTACAAAATAGTCATTTTATTACATAAAATATTCAAATATGAATATTAACTTTCCTTTTAATAAGGTGGAAATATTATTTTGTTTTCTTTTAAACAAAATAAATATATTGAAACAGAATGGGGATTGTTTTTTTTAATTCCATTCAATGGGTATTTAACTTATATTAGTCCCACCTTTTCTTACTTGTACATGTATTTATTTCTTGTGAATATAATTTTTAAAAATAGTAATCCAAAAATAAGACTTGTATCTCTGATGATATTCAATGTATAATCACGTTTAAAGATTACCTAGACTAATTTTTCCCCTTTGTAAAACTTTGCAACATTGTTCGTTTCCTGCTATTAGTCCGACCCCATATTCAATCATGGCGGTAAAAAAACAACATGGTATGGTTTCCTTCGATGTTTTAAACACTCATCACTACTTTTATGCTCCTTGCAGATGGGTTTGGAAATAAAATTATAGAGTATTTTGTCAAGATCTATTTATACCAAAATGTCATGGCTGATTGAATCGGCAGTTGCAGAAATTAGAGAAAAACAATCGCACCTAAAGGGGGGAAAATATACGACTGGCCTTTACATCAGGGCTCTCGATTCTCTATAATTGGGGCCGATATTCGGCCCCATTCCCAACGTGAGAAAGGTACCTTTTTTCCCAAATTTAAGGGTAAAAATTCCCAATTTATGATTGCTTCAAATTCATTACTGTAACAAAAAAGCATATCTTTGACAGTCGTAAAAGCACTGTTAAGATATGAAGGAAAGACGTTCGTGTTATGAACTGGTAGTTTGTTTATATGCTGGAACCAGTTTAGAATAAAAACGAAAGTCGTCTGTAATAAAGTAGGTACGATTTGTTCATTCACAACATGTCACAGAATGTGAAGATCTATGATGTCAGGGCTCGAAATTAATGGAAAATACTCTTTGAATGAGAATATTAAAATAAAAAATTGCGAGTTAAAAGCGACCTGTGTTCGCCACCTTTTGTCAGAAAAAAAGGTCTTGTAAAAAATTCAGATTACCAAGACTGAATGAGAAGCACTAGGCCTTCAGGTATTTTATTCACTATTTTGCTATTAGATTCCCTAACAATTAAAAATAAATAGGTACCATGCTCCTACATTTATAAATCCCCATAATCTTATCCATTTTGCAGCGCTACCTGTCTTATAATTTACTTCCAAAAACGATCGTTTTTTTAATCCGAATTTCCTCCACTCCTTTCTTTATGGTAAATACAATCAGATACAATGTAATTCCATTTAATTTAACTTATTTACGATCTCTAAAACAACTTGAGTAAGAAAGTTATGTAATTTTCCAAAAAATATATCCCCACTGTAGTTAATGATTTAATTTTAAATTTATAAAGATGATTTTTTGTTTAATTAAACAACTGATTTACTCTGTATCTGTTCAGATTTCATCTGTAATAAAACGGCCTAAATGCTTCCAAGAGGTTAATTATTATTATTTTTTTAAATAGATTATTTAAATCTTGTATGAATCACTATAAGGAGAAAAAATGCTAGGAAAAGTTCAAAATTACAATTTGATAGTAATAATAAATCTGCTGATATTTACTACAGTGGTCAAAAAGTTAAGTTTAATCCCTGCAGTACTGTTGTCAGTGTAGAAAAAATATTTCTACTAAGAGCAAGACAATGATGTCAGTTTAAATTATGACTGGCAAAAATTTCCCAATTTTTATAAAAACGTCGCTTTTTTCCCAATTTCAATGGCCCCGGCCCCAGTACCAAAAATGGGTGTGAGAGCCCTGTACATACAGAAGATAATCGGCCATTCTGTCTGTTCAATGTCAAACTTATAGGCCAACATGGCAGGTAAATTTATTTTTTCCTGCCATTTTGAAATTTTATGACAATGTACTAACAAATCTCTCGTTTTTGACGCCATTTTCATCGTAAAATCTACTCTATTATACATATCGGACCCGAACCGAATTCCAGAAAAACGGAACCGTACCCGTCCCAAATTAATTGTTCCGCGGTTCCGGGTCATTTCGGGTACCCGTGACAGCCCTAATAGATTCCATGCTAATTTGGTGAAAGTATGGTCAAAATTTACTCATCTGGAAAATATATATCAGATCCAGCATCTGTAGCAGGTTGGGGTATTGTGCATCATCCATGCAATTTTAGGAATAGACCTGATTCAAAAATTTAAATCTAATCTTGAAAATGGAGGCCAGATCCAGCATCAAAAGAAAATTTGCTCCTAAAACTTTCACTGGAAGGCCTTAATATTAACCTGTGCTAACACCAACAATATGATATTATCAAAGTGTCGATCATTGATCTACATCACTGTTTCCATCAAAATGAAGTCCAGAGTTTTTGAAATAAAAAAAATTTTACTGGTCAAGTGGACCAGTGCTTTAGTGAAATTCACCGGTCCACACAAATATTCACTGGTCCATCAACAAACACATATTCAAAATAATAAAAAAAAATTTAATTCCAGTTAGGCTTTAAAAAAATCGAAGGGTCAAATATCCCCGGACTGAATTAACCAGGTGTGACATTTATTGTAGAAACCCAACATGGCTGCCTACCGCAGAAAACGAAGTTCAAAATGTTGGGGATATGTTTAATGTAACAAAAATGATTATTTTAAAACTCTTTATATTCAAGGTAAATGATGATTAGCAATTCGGTTGACATATGTTGCACCCCAAATAAAGCTACAATTAACATTTCTGTACAAATTGAATCAGCTGATTGATCGAACAAACACAGATATGGCAAACAAAAAATCATGACTACCGGTAACTGTCGTAAAAGCCCTCGAGTTTATTCTTTCATACCCTTAAGACAATCTCACATAACTAAAATTCAGAGGTTAATAGGTTAAAATTCCGGAAAGATCCAATTTTTTTTACCGGTCCCTAGGACCGATTACATGAAGAAAATTACCGGACTTTTGAAATATTTACCAGTTTTGCCGGTGGGACCGGTGGATTTCAAAAACTCTGGAAGTCAATGGTTTTACTTGCGAAAAATTATATTCTAACACTTAGAGCCAAACTTCAAGTCTAAATGTTGGGCAAGCCTGTTTAATACAGAAATATTCAATAATTTATAAAATTCTACCTTAGAAAATATCCCAATTTTCTGTTTATTTTGTCAAATGGCAAACTGTTTTGTATTATTTTCACTTTTGTTAGCATTCTATCATGAACATTTTATTTAAAATTTCATTACTTTGCGCAAGAAAAATATCTTTTAGATTGATGAATTTGCAAAATAGACACAAAATAACAATATTTCAATAAATATAAATCTGTGAACTTACCATATCTGTTGGGGAATGATTTACAAACATTGCACGAAAGTACTACTATCAACCCTAAGATGAAACGGTTGATGATCATTTTAACCACACTCGATAAATGTTTTCGTCTCTTGTTCTACATATTCACTGATTATCCGTAAACCTATTTGCCATTGTGGCCAACTGGGTCCTTCTCTTCGATTTTTCCTGAGAGACAAATGACGTCAGGATTACTGCCTTTTCAGATTCTAGATAGATCGGTCGTTAGTATGTCGTAGAAGGCTCAGGCTCTTTTTTTTTTTAATCAGCTGAGGATTTCGAATTACTAAGTAAATGTTTTAAAATCAAACTCTCAAACAAAATTGTCAAAGGTTCATTTAATATCAATTATCCAATAATTCTTATTTCTACTTTAAATGGTTACAGTGGAAAGGGGGGAAGGGTCAACCGTTGAAAAATGACATCAATATTATACTTTATATCTTCAATCAGGATCCCCGCACCACACGCCACAGGAATCTCGATTTTCACACATTTATATATAAAAGAACCCCCCTCAGAAATTCAAAAGTAGACCTAACCTAATAAGTCTTAAAAGTGGTATCTCATGATGAGACGATTTTGATTCAACTTTTTAAGATTTTTCTTAAATGTCAAAAAATGTCAATATCTAGGTATAACTACCCCTTCTCCATTTAAAAAGTTCCAAAATACCTTTTGAAAACAACTGCATGAAAAAACATCATGCATTTCAATATTTTGTAGTCTTTTACTTACCACCAATGTTCAAAGGTGTTGGCATTCGTTTTGAAAGTTCTTTTCATATTGAAAGAAGGGTATTGTATGTTTAGACGGGGAAATAATGATAGGAGGAAGAGAGAACCGTACTTAAACATCTTGATACACCAAAAAAAAAAAAAAAAACTAATAATAAAACAAACAAAAAAGTAGAATGAGTGAGGAGATAAATAAGTGACCCATCAATAAGATTCTGATCTTTTTATTTTTAAAAATTTCATCATAATTTTTTCGGAGGGACTGGGGGTTGAACGCTTTTTAAGAAATTGAAATTGAAGGTTTTAAAATCTTGTATCTTGATTACTGATATCTCCTAATCAATCTCTCTCAGGATTACTCTTTGACAAATCAGTATATGTTTGCAAGTTATAAAATACCGGCATATATTATGTTGAATCAGGTATAATATTATTATAATACTACGTGCAAAGCTATATTCATAATATAGTTTATAGCAGTTGTGTCCGCTTAATGATTTTGTCAATACAGAATATAATCTAGAAAATGAAGCCTACTTACTTTAAAAATCTTATAGCCTTCTAAAAGTTAAATCTCCCCCCCCCCCCCTCCCACAAAGAATGCTGAGGCAGGCTTTGAATATCAAGAACATTCACAACGTGCAATGTATCTTTTACAATGATATTTTTTTAAAAAGAATTCTCTTTTAAAATTTAAAAATTATGTACCATGTGATGATCCTCCTAAAAAAATCAGTTCACATCAGGCGCGGATCCAGTTTTTTTTTTTTCGGGGGAGGGGGGGGGGGATCCATCCCAGTCAAAAAATAAAAAAAAAATCCAACCCAGAAATTATTGACAAAGAAAAAAAAATTAAAAAACTAAACTCGCACAACCTATTTTTTTGGGGGGGGAGGGGGTAGTAGACGCTTCAAACCTTTGACTTGTTACACAAATTCGCGTTTACCAGGGGGTCTGCGTTTTCCGAGGAGGGTCCAAGGTTACTTTTTTTCTTGTTTAAGTATATAAATTTAATAACCTAAGTCTTATAATTCCAGGGGGAGGGGGTCCTGACCCCCAACCTCCCGAACCCTCTATAGATCCGCGCATGCCACATTACCAGAAGTTTTGATCACATAAACACAGTTATATAGCTTGTAATCCCCCATCCCACCCCCAAAAACTGATTTAAAAGTGATGTACATACAATGTTATCAGGCATCGTAAAACTGCAAAAAGGTCCATTTTTCTTTTTAGTACTCATGATGCTCCATACATTTTTTTTATTACGAATATTTTAGGTACGTATTGTCTAATAAACTTTGTTTATTTACCTTTGACCTAAATAAACATCAACAATGACCTGAAATGGCGACAGATGAAGAGATTATTTTTGAGGTGTGAATAAGTGATATTTTAATTGATAAGAAAGGGTATTGGTAATTAATGTGAAGGATTTTATGAACAGGTTTGATTTATTTCGAGATACTGTTTGTTTTTGATTCCGGACATAACGAAGATCGCGTTATATTCTTAAGCCGATATTGCATATTTTCCAAGCTCGTGTTCCAGTTCATGTTACCCCAACATTTTTGAGATCTTTGAGTGTTATAGAGAGTATAATTCTTATGTATAACAGCTTTGGCTGGACTATGTAGCTTAGACAAAAGAGAACCAGACCCAAACTACAGCATGTACAACTGTTCACACCTAAAGTGACAAAGTCACGAGGATTACATATTGTACTTGATGCAATGATTCATCACTTAGTTGTTTCAAAGTACTTCATGTTATTTATTAACTGTATACATGTGTAAATATGTTTATTTAGTGCATGCATGTTTTTCTTTTTTCTAGGTTATGAGTCGGGTTAGTCTGAATATTTAAAACAAAACTGGAACTCACTTATAATTAAAATATAATTAATTTATTTGTAAAAGAAATTGAAATAAAAAAGCTTAACCTAGATTGTGTTTATGCCAACAAGAAAGAAAAAGAAATATGTACATTAAGAACTTCTCAATAATCAAAACCTTGAAAACCTCAAAGTTTGCCAAATGTGTTTTAAAGCACAACTTATATAAAACCTATATGTACAAAAAACAAACAAGCAGACAATGCTCAATGTTTGAAATCAGCAGGGATTCAATTAATGCACTGGTCCTCAGGGCCTCTCTATTTGTTGGTCACTACAGTGTTAACACTGATGAAAACAAGCTATATGGGAAAAGGTTAATAGGGGTGAATCGATTGTGTTGAGCAGCAATTCTTCTTCCAATAATTTGCATACCACCTACTGGTGTATTGTTGCCAATTTAGGCAAATAACTTGGATCTTACATTGTTGGTCATGTGTGCATCAGTGTGATTTTATTTGTGTGTACGTCTGTACTACCATTATGTTTTTACTTTTGAAAGTTGAAAGTCAATTTTGAAAATTGAAAATTACTATTTAATTGACACTTGTACTGCTTGTATTTGAAATTACTTTATTTTGAGGTACATTCTAAAGCTATACATGTTTTTGATTTCCAATGCATGTATAGTGTCCTCCATGAAAAATTTGTCCACTAGTATTAAGGAGCGAAGTAATGATTTTGACAGAAACTGAATGTGTCTTTAATTTAAAAGTTTTGCATTTCTTTTCAGGATCATCTATATAAACTGTCTGGAAATAAAGGGAAGGGATTTTGGTCAAAGAATAATCCATGGAAGCAGAAATATTTCATTCTTAAAAAGATAGGAGATAGACCAGTTCTAGAATATTACAATAAGAAACCCAAAAGTAAAAATTCTAGTTCACCTAAAGGTAAATGGTGACTTTTCTACTATTAAATTTTTATCTCAATTTTCAACTATTTTGAATATTTCTATCATTCTCATATTACAATCTTACATACAGTATGAGTGAAAATTTTAGAGAGATGCAAATTTAGCGATTTGTCCTTACAAAATGGTTATTTTTAACGAGATGCAATTTTAGCAATTTTAAAAAGCTCACTAAAGAAGCATTTATAAATAAAACACAATTAATTTTTAGTGATTTTCAATTTTAGCCATCTTAGCACTGTCGCTAATAGTGCGGAAATTAAATCCTCGCTAAAAGTTCTGATTATACGATACATAGCATCATGACTTACGGTAGGTATTTTATACAAGCAATTTCATTCATTTACTATAGGAAAATAATCAAGATTCTATTTTCACAGATAAAGTTGTATTATGGCCAAGCTACAGATTAGAGAAAGTAACCAATACTCGAAACCGAGCCTATGTGTTCGAAGTCACGACCCAGGACAAATATTTATGTTTGTCAGCAGACGAACAGAGGAGCATGGATATATTTGTCTTTATTCTCCAGAGTCAGATGCAGCTCAAGAAACAAATCAAAGGTATAAGCTTGTCATGTACTACTCAATGATCCGGCAGCATAAGTAATCTATAGAAACTTCAAACTTCTTCTCTGATCTTTTGAGAGGAAGCAGATGCCAGTTTGATTGTTTTAGTACATGTATCTGTTTTTAAAGATTAATTTACTTCCCTTTCATATATTATGTTTCATGGAAAGATCCAATTTTCCTTTTAATTTGTATATGGATTATGTAAGTTTGTGTGTTGCATATATTTTACATATTGTTTTGATGTATTATCTCTTTACATTTCCAAGATGACATGGTCATTGTTCAGCCAGAAAACTCAGAATCTCAAAGAAGAATCGGTGCAAAGGGAACAAACTGTATTCTCCATGTAGCACCATGGGGGATAACTCTAGCATTACAGGTATGTTGTTTAAACAACCTGCAGAATTTTTTTTACAAATGCTGAAACAGTAAACTTGAATGATGGGTGTGCAAGTTTGTAGTTAAACATATTTCTTTTGGATCTACATGGATTAGTGCATTGAAGTTAACCATAATATTTTAACTTTATTTCTTAGACTAGTGTTTAATGTGTAATCCACTCATATGAGTCTGTATAAAATTAGAGTAATTTAGTTGAATGTTGAATCTTTCAGAGTACAAGATCTGTCCTGGCCCAGTGGCCACTGAAGAGTGTGCGGTACTTTGAGGCGGGGGGTCAGGGGAAGTTTATGTTGGAGGCAGGGAGGGTCGCTCCAATGGGGGACGGCATGTATGTCTTCCAGACCCAGAAAGGCAAAGACAATTACATCTATGATTTGTTGGATCAACATATTGTTAATGCTCTCAGCAAAACACAGGTGTGTTTACTGATATAGAAAAATATGTGACAAAAGCTAATGTTTGCCTTTTACTTTAAAGGCTTTATTAATCTTGTTAATCATAATCATAATGAGAAATACAAACGAGAATCATTACTCTTAAAGTATAAAAGAATCATGTTGTCTTTAAATTATGGTTGATTTTTACAAAGCACAACAAAAACTTCATTCAAGGTGTGCTTATCTTAAAAAAAACAAAACAAATTCCATCAACATACTTCCTTAGCACCATTTCACAGATGATATTCAGATACATGTATCATTAATATTCTAGTACTTTAATATATTTCTGTGTATACATGGCATATAAACTGCCTCTGCAGTGAAACTATATTATTATTTTGACATTTTCTCTGACAGCCCAGTCGCCGAGGAACAACAGAGGAGATGGAGGATTACATAGTGGAATCAGAGAAGTTATCTGCCCTTACCACAATATCTCCAGTCACCATGAGCCAGCCAGAAATCCAAACAATTCTCCAGGAGAACTGGAACTTTACATCCCTAAATGCTGGTCAGTATCTCACTGAAGCATGTTAGAATCTTATAATGGTTTTCTATTTGATTGATCTTGTATAACATAGAATATATTGATTTTCATTAACATGTATAAGTGATTATGTAAAGAAATTATGCAATTTTAGTACCAATACAGTTTATTAATGCCATTTACAACCATTATCTTTGAAGGTTTCCCCAAACCAAAGCCAGTTGTTCATGTCAGACAAAACAGCCAAATGTCAGACACAGGGTAAAGTACAAATTTTTATATAAATACATGTACCATACTATGGCAAAAGTAAACATTATACAAAGATTCTTTGGTAAAAGTATTACCTGTTATCTATTATAGTTGATTAAAATCTTTGTGGATGTAATGTTAAAACTCATGGAAGTCATATAAGTTTATTGTTTATTGTAGAGCACCTCCTCCTCTTCCAAATCGCCTGCCAGCACATCCCCCACACAATAGTCCAAATCATCACTGGTCACCAGCTCAAACAGTCAACCATGGATTTCACAACAGTGTGTCGGACTCTCTGCTAGAGAGGCCACCGATGCCCCCTCCCTCGCCAGCTCGCTCATCCACCAAATCTTCCAAACCAACTGACCGTGACTCTCAGACCAAACCACTGACCATACCAGCCGGGAATGGAAGAGTCAGTCAAGCATACTTTCGAATGAATTCAAGCTCAAGTAGTGGTGTACCTCACAGCATTTCTTCCCAGTTTTCTCCCATAGGAAACTGGACCCCACCTCCAACATTTCAGGAGGCTACTGCCTATAGTCTGATGGATGGAAACTCTACTTTAAATACACAAGGTGGCTATCTTACTCCAAGACACAGTGGAGAAGTGGAGCCAAATCGTGTCTCAGGTTATCCAGAACAGTATATTCTACCGACAAATGACCGAGATGCACAATTCAGTAGTCTTCCTCGATCAAGACAAAGAAGAAATTCCAATGATAGACAAAGAACAACTAAGTATAGACTAAGGTCCTCCAGCTGTGACCAGTTAGACTCTTACAATCTAGATTCTGCTATGTCAGAGTCACCCAGAAGGAGAAGTGTAGATCAGGGAGAAGACAGACCTTATGATCTCGCTAAGCCTCAGGCACCATTTAGAAATCTGCACAATTTCAGAGGTAGCATGGAAATGATCAATGATAACAGGCGAGGGTCTGTGGAGCATTATTACAATATCAATGGTTTGAAAGGAACTGTAGATGCTAGTCCAAATCCTACTGTTGGTGAAGTGAGAAAGAGGTTCAATGAAGGAGCTCGAGAGGACACTCTTACTAGATCTATTTCAAATCCCAACTTCATGCAGATCAGTACAAAAGACAAATTCAGTGATGCAAAAGCATACCCTAGCAAGCTGGATGGCAAACGTAAAAGTAAATCTTTGTTAAACTTATTTAGGAAATCCCGTGATGGAAAAGACAGAAGAAGTGTTGGGAGCAGTAGTAATCCCAGCAGTCCCGTGGGAACACTGACCCGACAGACCAGTATACCACTCATTAGTATAGGAGGGAAAGATGTTTACTTCACTGAGAGATCCCGCTCATTTAGGAAACCCAAGAATAAAGGTACTGATAGTGCAGAAAATACTCCCCCAAACAGCAGACATAACAGTTACAGCAAGGCATCAGCCAGAGATTTACCGCCATCTGGAAGCAGGCATAGCAGTGCATCCAAGTCCCCAGCAATATCTAAAAAAGATCTCCCACCCTCTGGTAGTCGATATACAAAATCACCAGCAGCAAAGCGTAGGGACCTTGTGAATACAGTGTCACCCCCACTACCGAAACGAGAAAGGTCTTCGTCTTACGTGAATGTAGTACACTCACATTCAGGGAGTGATATTTCTAGTAACACTGGTAGTAACAGCATAATCCACAACAGATCTGGGAGTGACATAGGCAGCAGCAGCATAGGAAGCAGACACAGCACAGAGATGAGGCATAACAGCAGCAGTAAAGCTGAAACCGTGTGCTGATTGGTTAAAAATATCCATCTTATCAAAACCTGAATTAGTCATTGAAGTACAGCTCTATTGTCATATGTAATTTCTTGTCTAATCAATAATCATGTATATTTTCAAAATTAGTACTTTAATTATAACAAAATCAAAATATTAATTTTACGCATTTGCATTATAGATTGTACATGTATATATATATATATATCTCTTTCTTGCCTGTAGCTGTTTATTGATGTAAAAAGTTCTGATTTAGTTACTGTAGTTATAGAATGATGGAATATGATGGTGTATATAATACATATATTATTTCCCATAAAATGGGGTTAGTGTTTTAACAAATGTGAGAAAAAGAATATTAGTAAAATCCTGAAACATGATCAAAAGTAAATTAAAAATTGTTCAGATTTGTTAATACTCTTAAATGTTTAAATAGTACATGTAATAGGATTTCTATCTCTATGTACAAGAAGCCTCTAATTTTGCATCAGAGGACATAGTTTTAGGTGTTGTGTTTCCAGTAAATTTGTTACGGCCAGAGAGTTACATGTTGTGTTCATGCTGTTATTTTTTATCCATTTTTTACATAAATTACATGGAATGTATACATTATGTTTTTAAAACTAGTGTCAAGCACTTCTCGTGTATGTAAGTTTCTATTTTATTGAAAACCAGAAACAAACCATTTACAGATTCTGATAGCAATGAAAGTAAGCGATTATTATTGTTTTTGATAAGTCTAGTTATAAATATGGACATTATTTTAACAGTTTTAGTCATATCTCCCCAGATTATGATAAAAACTGAACCAAAAAAGGTCTATCTGTCACACAATACAGGGTTTTATGTGTTACAAAGGCATTACTTTTTTTTATTGTACACATTAATTACACATCAAAATTAATTCAGTTTTTTTTTGTTTCTCATAGTTTTACTTTATTTATGGTTGGCGTACAGATAACAAATACTTTACCGGGTACTTTTGGGTATTAATGTGCAATCTGCATAATAGTCATTTAACAAGAATTTCATTTCATAACAAACTTTTTTTTTTTTGTATTGTTCATTAAGATATAATTTTATTTTTGAATGAATAAGATTTTTATGTTCTTTGAGAACAGAAAGCATTTTATTCCATATATTTCAAGAAGTTTTATTACTGTACAGTACTTTAAAGGTAATGATAGAGAAACCCCACCACTTAACAAGCTCAAATGATATACAGGTACCTATCAGTACTCACTTTGTGGTGTCACTAGGGTGCATGGTGAAAGATTCTGATAATGTAGTCAGTTTGAAAGGCAATAAAAGTTGAGCCCAGTGAATATTTTGTACACTAAGGTTAAATTTATGAGAGGTCCCATGTTACTGAATGGTTTTTATACCAGTTTACACTTATATGTACTTACATATATGTATTATATAGCTACTTATAGTTACACCATATGTTAATTTTTTTATACAAGTTAATGGTTGATATTTTTTTTTAATGGTTGATGATGTATAGTATGCAAATGTTTTGTTATTGTTAATGAAATACATGTATTCTACTTGAATTTCAGTTTTGTACATTGAGAAAAAATAAGATTAAAAGAAATATTTTGTTCACATGTTTGACTTTTGTATATTAATTTTGTTTCCTTATTATAATCAAAAAAGTGTAAATTTCTATTTTATGAGAATTTTGTAAATATAAAGCAAGAAAAACATTTTTTGTTTACATCTTTTAGCAGAGTTGACCAGCATTAAGATATTCATTTTTAAAATGATGTAAAATTTATATGCATTTTTGATTAGTACATGTTGTAAAACTGAATGAAATACTATGTGGTTGTTTTTATTCAATAATTGGTGCATTATCAACCAAATGGCAAAAATTTCTTTTGAATTGTAGATATTAAAGTTGTTTCAAATTCCTGAAGTGGAATTATGAAATGAAATTGCCTATTGACCTCACTTTTATATACATCAAGAGATTATGTGTCTCGCGGAATGTAATAACAAGCTCCTGCAAGGATATGTTCTTATCTTTTCTTTACAATAACAAAGCATAAGAGCTGATCAAATGGGATATTTTCTTCATAAATTCCTCTCCGATAGTTTTTAAATGTTTTAATGAAGATTAATTGAAAGCAAAAATGAATGTACATACATGTATATGAAACAATTTAGTGGTAAACCCTGCTTAGTGATGTTCTATGCAAGAATGTGATTGATCTTAAATCTATTTTTACAGTCTGTTGACTGATGAATCTACAGAAGCACCATCTAGAAGACAAAATTCAAAGTTATGTAATTATGCCAATTTTGACAGTTGATAGAATATCAGGAATAGGCCAACAGTTCCTTGCCTTTCAAGTCAAGTTTCAAACACTCAGATACCAGTATCTTGTAGGTCTTCCACTGTTCCCTTAGGTTTGATTTTTGAGGCTCGATTGTATCAAATTTTGAACATGGTATATTTCATTATTTTGTTTTAAAGAGCACAAATTTGTAAATTGTACAGGATTTTTTTTTTTAAGTTCTCAATTTATTTGTTGGCATCTTGTATTCTTAGTCCTTCCTTTTTGAGTACATATAATGTCATAGACATAAATTTTAAAACAAAATTTATTATAAATTACTCCTCAGATGGAAAATATACATGTCTGTCTACCTGCCAGATCTTGTTCATAGTTGATCAAATGCTAGATAAATGCTCTGAATTTATAGAAGTATACATTTTTGTCTTTGCTATCCATGTAAACCATTTTCTGTTTATGGTTGTTGCTTTTACAATGAAGTATTAAATACTGAATTTATTCACTAACCTTATCTTGTATTTAGAAAGTTCGTGTAAGAGGAAATTTTAGAGTTTTTTGGTTACTGAGGACATAACAGATGAGTCTTATGTCCCTCTGAGGATCTTGTATATTACAATGAAGCACATTGAAAAGGTAAAAATTTTCGCTTGAATGGAAAGTTTGGGTGTTTCTAATCGAATGTCTCTGGTCACATAATGACACGCCCATTTCTTTAGAAACGAGAGAGAAATCGTCGTCGTAATGCTTTATGACACCACCCCACTCTTCGCAACTACATGTAGCAACATGGGTTACACCGATATGAATATTTTAAAGGTTATTAGAAGGAGAGAGAGAGAGAAAGTCCCCGCTTCCGTAAAACACGTATTGTAACGAATTTGTACATATTGCAACGAATTTGTACATAATTATGAATTTATCATGTTTATTGGAGTTGCCATAACACATGTATCTGTCGAACACGCGCCTTCTCGGTGTTTATGTAGACCATCAATTTGATTGGCTGTTACGTTTATGACACTCTGATTCATGCCGAATCCATAAGAAAAGCGCCCTTGTTCTTCTGCTATGCACAAGTGGTATCCGGGATATTCGATGTCTCATTGTATATAGTACAAGGGGATCGGGGAATTCACTGCTTATGGTTGCATTATCATTTGGTTATTGTGGCTTACCCCTTAACTTCCTGTTAGAGGAGGAACGTTTACCCTTGACTCCTGTCTAATTTTTAAAAATCCCCTGATATTTTCAATTCTTAGGGACAACCCTGACTTTTCGATGGACATTGAAAATTGCAATGGCATCTACAATACTGTTGCATTATGAAATGACATAATAAAATACGTGAACAATATTCACGCTCAAAAGTCCATTAAACAATACAAAAAGGAGCAGCAAACACGGACCTCTAAAACATCAGAGGTGGGATTAGCTGCCATGGAGGAGTGAGCATCCCATGCTGACCGGTCACACCCGCCGTGCCCTCCTTGTCATGATCGGGAAATATCGGAAAAATCCATGGACAATTCTATTTATCATTGTGTCATTCACACAACTGACTTTCAATATGTTATGTCATGAACAACATAAGTAACATGCCATGACTATTTAATCTATGGCACGCCAAATTCACAAAAATGAGATAATCATAGTTTCACAATCGATAAACTAGGTTTATCGGTTGTAAACTATAGTTTACAAACCGTAAACTATAGTTAACAATGTTAATCTATATTTCACATCTGTAAACCATAGTTAACGCGATAATCTATGTTTCACAACCGTAAACTATACTTAACACCGAAAATAATCATTTGCGATTGCAAAACATAGATTATCTGATAAATACAGTTTCACGATTTGTAAACTATAGTTTACAAACCGTTAACTATAGTTAACGATCTGATAAATATAGTTTCACAATTTGTGAAACTATGATTAACAACTCTTAACTATAGTTTACGATTGTAAACTATAGTTTACAAACGTGAATCTATGTTTATCAATAAAATCTATTGTTAACTCTTTATTACAGACATATAAACTTAAATTAGCATTCGTAAACTATAGTTAACAACCGTTAAATATAGTTTTACAGATAACGAATCGTTAACTATAGTTTACGGTTTGTAAACTATAGTTTACAGTCGATAAACCTATGAAACTATGAGTATCTCATCTTTGTGAATTTGGCGTGCCATATTAATCATCATGGTCCTCTGGAGATATTCTGGATATTCAGTGTATTTAAATTTGTCAGAGATATACATGTAATTTGAAATGCGCTCAACATGTAGCACACTACGGAAAGTATGAATGGCCCCATTTCCTTTGGATCTCATCAAAGAGCGATGATCCAAACATTCCCGAGTCTGGATTTATATGTTTTCCATAATATTAATATCCAGACTAACCGAAATCAAATGAGATCTAATTTTTTCAATCTAAAAAGTGTATACATAGAGAAATTCTTAGTGTATGCATGGTTTGTCAACACCTGCACAAAAAATAATAAAACACTTTTGGAAAGTTTAAAAAACATTTATTACTTATTGTATTTTTGTTGACGATCAATTTCAAAATTAGATGTGAGACTTCTGGATCTTATTTTATCGATATTTCCAAAATTATTTATCAAAAATAGTTACATATTGTAAAATATCTGAGATTGTTTGTAAAATATCTGATATTGTTTCACCAGTAACTGCAATGAGATGTGCAAGCAAGGGATAGGGATTCCTGGGATTTCGTCTTAAGGCTCTGCAGCTAGTGTCATCATTGTCATTATTCTAAATGTAGCTATTGCTGATGGTGGGGGATTCCATATAGGAGGCATATAGGAAGACCCTCTCCCGGGCGGCCTCCTCCTGAACTCTCTGGCACCAGTCTCCCCAGGCAGGCAGAAGCAGCTTAGCATTGATACTACACTCCTTGAATCGCCAGACGTACAGGAAGGGGTTCAGAATTCCATTAATCAGAAACAGGACCTGTGCCGACTTCATTGCCGTTGCAAAGGTTGGGTGGGTACTTTCTAGATCAGGTAGAAAGTCTACAACGCTTGTACAAACGATTCCCGGGACATAACAGAGTAGAAAGGTAATGGTGATTAAATGCATTCTGACGACTGCGCGGACTTCTGCTGCTATGATGTTGTGGTTCTCTTTCACTGAATTCGAGATGGAGTAAACGGGAGGCACATTTCTTCTTATAATACAGCAGATGACGAAAAAGGACGATAGCACAATACTGAAACACACAAGAGAAACAATAGAGTACATCATGTGCGTTGGCATTCCATCGTTCTGAGTGCATAGTCCAGGCGGTACCGATTTTACGTCAGACGACCGGGAAACTCCAAATATAATACCGAGAGTCCAGACAACAGTTAAAACGAGGCTGGTAATCCACATACCAATCTTTGACTGGTACTTCATAACAAGAGACAGAGAAAGACATCGATCCAGTGATAAAACTGTCATTAGAAATATGGACACGATGACATTTGTCCAAAATATACTTTGTCGAATAAGGCAAAACGTATCCATGTTGAGGAGATACTCCGTGTTAAGGAGATCCGTCAGCGGACGAGAAAACAGCAGAAAGCAGTTGATCCCAAGAATAAAATCAGAGGCAGTCATGTTGAGAATGAGGAATTTAATTTGAAGAGGCAGTCGCTTACATCTCTGCATGATAACAAAGAGACATATATTTTCGCAGAATGATATAAATCCGATGGCAGCGAGTGTTTGGTTAATACTCTCTTGAGCCTCGTCCTTGATTTCAGTATTGTTCTGAAACATGTCTTGCCTAATGGATCTGAAACAAATATTGATATCGATATTAAATAAAATATTTTTATATCACCGCTCCGAAGGAGAAGGGGTATACTGTTTTACCCTTGTGTGTCTTCCCGTCTTTCCGTCTGTCTGTCTGTCCGTAACAAATTTTTGGTCGCAGTTTTCTCAGCAACTACTCATTAAAGATGCTTGAAATTTTGTTGAGGCATGCTAAGTATTATGGGATTATTTTTATATGAATCTGATGTCAACCATTTTTCTGTGCATCTACCCATCACTAAATTTGTAAATATTAACATGATGGGTATGCTCACATCAAAGCGGGGGTATTACTAGTGAGCATGGGCTCACAGACTTCTTAATTGTTATCCCTTAATTTGGCCAAGCTTAAAACCAGGGGTCATGTTTGGAAGCCCAACATACCTCAGGATCCAAGATTTAAAGGAATTTAAACCTGCTATTAGCATTTTTGCAACTTCATGATTTGGTTTATCATGGCCCTGCAGTTCAGGAAAAATCTTTTAAATGTTGTTGCATATACCCTACTATGATCCCACTTTATCCCTAATGGAAGTGTTTTGAACAGACTTATACCTGTACTACGTATACTTGGTGATGATGGTAAATACATTTCTGTATATGATTTTTCTCCCCATAATTGTGGGCTCTCCCTACCTTTGGGTGCCATACTAGTGATTTGAACAAACTTTAAAAGCTTCCGCAATAATATTACTTATCATATTTCTATATCTTTAAGAATAATTTTCTACACATTTTCCTCTAGGCCTGAATTCCAATGTAAAACCAATCCCTTCTTTGGCTAACATCCTCCCTTGGAGGGGGGTATGAAGTGAATCTTTGCTAGCTGAGTATGTATGCATATGTCAATCATTGTCCCACAGTTTGTGAGAGGATGTTTTGTGGCCAGATTTAACGTCGAGGCCATATTTTGAACAAATTTGAATATGCACTAATCCACACATAGATAGTATTTAGCCAAGTTTTTTTTCTTCTGACTCGATGGCATATTGTATGAACGCTCCTATCACATGTTATTCAAAAGTTATCACAAAAGTTGATTAGTTGGAATATTAGGTCAAAAATGATGGTCAAGGTCAGGGGATCAGAAATCATAGCATGCTCGAAAATTTCTTGTCACAGGTAATACACATGTCAAATATGAAAGGCCTATCTCTTCTCTATCAAAAATTATAAGGAAAAAATTACCCTTTTGAAAAGTAGATCAAACGTTGTGGTCAAGTTCACGGGTAAAAAATTATAGTGTATTTAGAAAGGTCTTGTCACAGGTAAAACACAAGTTATGACCACGGTTAAAGTTTTCGAAAAGTAGATCAAACTTGAAGGTCAAGGTTACGGGCCGGGGTCAAACTTCATAGTGTATATATTTAGAGTTCTTGTTTAGTATGAAAGCAAAATTTCTCATTTAAAAGTTTTTGCCAATTTAAAGTAATTTTTGAAAAGTAGGTCAAACCTCAAGGTCAAAGTCACAGGATCAAAAATCAAAGTGCTTTAGAAAGGTCTTATCACAGGTAATACACGTATATAATATGAAAGTCCTATCTCTTCTCATTCAAAATATATGACCAAGGTTAAAGTTTGTTGTGACAGACGGACAGACGAATGAAATTCGCTTTTGCGAGAGGAGGGAAAATAAGAAAAAGAAAACATCAAGATTCTCGGAAATGTTACGGTAATACAATTATAAGAGAATTATAAAATTTATGTCTGTGTTTTTAGTTTTTGAAAATGTTTCGATCAATGTCTTTGAAACTGAATCCTAAAAATCAAGCAAACTCTAAGAATTGTGGTCCCCCGCTTTCGGTGTCTTTGTGGGTGAGATGTCATTATTTATGGCTCATTGTGTCAAATATGATCACTCCATCATATGACATTTAAAAGTTATCAACAAATTTAAATAAAAAATTAAATAAGGTCAAACACGAAGGTCAAGTTCAAGCTAGGGATCAGAAATAGCATGCTTGGAAATATCTTGTCACGGGTAATACACATGTCAGATATATAAGAATCTATCTCCTTTCTATCAAAAGTTATAAAGAAAAAATAACGTTTTGAAGAGTAGTTCAAACGTAAAGATGAAGGCCACAGGGTAAAAAAAAATTATAGTGTATTTAGAAAGGCCTTGTCAGAGGTAAAAATTGTATGTTGTTTAACGTCCCTTTCGAGAATCTTTCACACATATGGAGACGCAACCATTTGCCGGTGGAGAGCTACATATTTTGTCCTGTACTTGGCACATAGGGCCATTGAGCAGTGAGGGATATTTTTCTTGCCTGCACCTACTGCGACACAGGACCTCGTTCTTTACGGTCTCATCCGAAGGACAGGTCTCCACGTTCTCAAGTGGGATTCGAACATGCGACGTAAGGACCAACTGATCCTTACTTCGCGACTCTAGAGCATCTACGCTCTAACCACTGCGGCACCCGGGCGACTGTCAGAGGTAATACTCGGTATACTATCAAAGTTGAAAGACCTAAATCTTTTCATCCAAAAGTCATGCCAAAGTTAATTTTTTTTAAAGTGGATCAAACTTCAAGGTCAAGGTTACGGGGTCAAAAATCATAGATTATTTAGAAAGGTCTTGTCACAGATAATACACATATGTATTATGAAAGTTTTATCTCTTCTCATTCAAAAGATATAACCAAGGTTAAAGTTTTTGTGACAGACGGACAGACTCACCGACAGACATACTGATAGACGAAACTGAGATATACTGTCCCCTCGCTTAAATTGCGAAAGCGGGGTTTTCCAAATGCAAATCAAATCCTAAAATCAAAAGATGAACAAGCAAATTTAAAGAAATGAATTGTCGCACCCCGCTTCCGCAATGTTTTTGTGGGTGAGAGGTTAATATTTTTATGGCATATTGTGTCAAATATGAACGCCCTATCATATGTCATTCAGAAGTTTTTACCAAAGTCGATTTTTTTTAATCAGATTAATCGTGAAGGTAAAGGTCAAGGGATCAGAAATCATATAGCGTGCTCGGCAATATCTTGCACAGGTAATGCACATGTAAAATAAATGAAATTTTATCGATAACAACAATTATACTATACTTACAATTAACTTATGTTGACAATGTCCTTTGCAAGAATCAGCGTCTTTTAGAAAATTTAATCACTTTGCGTCATAATAGTTATGACGTCATTTTTGACACGTGATTAAAAAGTTGACTTTTTTCCCGATTTCTAAACAATTTTAAGCTAAACGATATACTTTTATCTTTTATTATGCAAGAAAATGAGTGAAAATTTTGGCAAAACCCGGGAGTTCTGGGCCTTTACTACCAGGTACGTATAGTTTAGGAGTAGGAGGCAGAAGGATACACTGAAAGAGTGATAACCCCACGGATACTTGCAGTGAGTTGATTGTGAAAAGGTGGAAATCATGTGCCTAAGGGGAGTTAAGCATCAGATATCGACCAATCAGTCAAACACGCCGTATCCGAGCCCTTTAAATTAGTATTTTAGATGAAAAAGATGGCCTAACAATTGGTAGAAACAATGCAAGTCATAATGCAAACTAGCGATAGGTTTACATTGCAAACGAAGTCATTACACGATTATTAAACTTATGAAACTAACCTTAAATCATGTAACATCGACTTATTTGTCGGTAACCTTTCTTTATATGAAAAAGAGAAATATTCAAAATATTCTCTCGTGAACGGAACCGTTAATGTTAAGGGACATAAAAATCACCAATTAAAACGAAATAATTTTAGTCTTCTTCTGAACGAATATAATGTGTAAAAATGGCAAACGTTGTCATTTAGGTGGCACACACAAAACAAATCATTGTGCTCTGCTCATATTCAATTTAAGCTGGCACAATATATTTCGAGGAGTCAATTAGCAAGTTTAGTGAAATAAAAACCAAAAAAAAAAAGATAAAACAGACCAGGAAGACCGTTTGAGCATTTATTTCGCTACTTCACTTGTATTCAGATTCAGACTACAGTAATACACCATGTTAGAGAAAATATACACCCATTCTTTTCATGAAATATTTAGGAGCTAAAAAAGTTTTTTAAAACATATATAACTATACCTATGCAGTAATATAACAGTTTATTTGTAATATGAATACAACATTCGTTCTTAATTTCATAATTATATAGATTTGGTCCACATGCAAATAGTACTTTAAATAAATAACTTTTTCATTAAAAATATTTTATGATATAATTCCTGAGATAACATCGATATGGTACAAATATTGGAGAATCTTTATTCTCGGTGACGTCAAACCGGGCAACAATGTCAATGTCTGGTCTTAATGGCTCTCCGCAGTGGACACCCAACAACTCGTATCCATAAATTCTGTGTGCGTCTGTCTTTATTTTGGCAGGATTCTGGAAGATTTCCCACCGGCATTTCGAATTAATCGACAAATTTATCCACAGACTGATAAAATCCAAACAATTCCCGCTCAGCTATTTACAGCAGACGGTATACTGGTGCAACTTGGGAGCAGCAATTGTCGGCTGCTTCCGTCATATGTGGGATTAATAAAAGAGACGTCTGCGAGACTGAAATCAACATTATTGACAATTATACTGTTGCTTTCATGAACAAATTTCTAAGCAGATGTAATAATTTCTCATAAAAAATTTGTAAATCTCTCTGGTAGCATCAACTTTTGTTGGTTTTGGCAGAGTGGTATTAAGTACACCGTACTAGTATATATGGAACTTGACCAAATATAGAATGTTTAAGAACAGAAATAAACTAAAAACAGAATTTATCTTTTACTCAGTCAGACCATTTTTTAAAAGTTAATTATCTATAAAAGTGTCCTTTTAAATATACTTATGGAATATGTATTATGCACAGACACACATGAACAAACCTTGGTTGACTTTCTGAATCTCTGTCTCGACTTTTTTCTGCCTCTCCGTTCATCACACTACAAGAAGAACATTAGTAATTTGAATTTGTTAATAAAAAAAAACTTGTCCCAGTAATATCATTTTAGACAAACACGATATGGATATAACGAATTACAAAAAAAAAAACAAAAAAAACAAAAAAAAAAAAAAAACAAACAAGTAAATTCTACAGGTCCCCGGAAGTATGCTATATAACCGAGTTTAAATTTTTTGACAGATTTTCAAGTTGACTGTTTCATGTCCATGCACAAGTAAATACGATTTTTAAAGTTTTTATTAAAGTTCATCGTTTAAGCATCAGCATTAAAATTAGACCGGGGAGGCATTCAAATTTTTGTTTCCCTTCACCCAAAGATGCTCAATGCAAAGAAAATGATTAACATTGGTTCAGTGGTTCCAGATAAATGCTGAAAATAATTTTAAATGTTGACACAAGCACGTTGATTATCATTCAATAATTAATATTGTTTTCAGGATAATCATACTAATTTCTTTATACATGTACTGGGTAAGCTGTGCAAAATTCTAAGCTGCTAACATTTTCAACAATAATAGAATTGAATTGAAGAACTCATGTGCAGTATATTTTCTAAAACTCACTTGTCTTTATCATAAATGGAACTGTCATCGTCATTGAAGAGATATAGTGGGCCTTTTTGTTGGCATTCCTTTAGATGCAGCCGCCTAGAATTTATGTTATGATTAGAAAAAAACTTGCATAACTTAAACGAATGGTACAAGGTCCGTTAGTACAATTCTCTGTCATCCTTGGACTTTCAATGAGGCGTGGCATTCTGAAGCTACGTAATTAGCGTCTCTTTAATTCTCATTGGTTAAGAAATTATAATAACATCAGCAGCTTTAAATTGTTGTTGACAACAATAAGATGACCTAAGCCCCACCTCTTTGCCGTACGAAACGTTGTGATTGGATCCTTGCTATACTCGTTGACATTTGCACATTCTATCCCATATATATTTCAACAGTGAATGAAAGGCTGTGTAAATTTCTGACGCTAATTATGTAACGTCGATAATGCCAGCCTTACCGAAAGTCCAAGGATAACTGGGAATTGCACTAAATTCTAGGAGGATTTTTTTTCTCAGCACTCACCTGAAATGTCTACATGTGAGGTATATCACCCCTAACAGAACTGCCAGCACCAAAGAGAAAGCAATGGCTAGGATTACGATCACCAAATGTAAATCCTTCTCAATCCTAAATATTTCCGGAAGTCGCTCTGTCTGTAATGTAAAGTCTGAAAATATAGCATCTTAAGTTAAACACGCTTTTCAATCGAACGGGCCAGTATAAAAATATCATAAACATTAATTTTTAGATAAAAAAAAATAAATTAACGTACTTGATTTTTCTATGGGCGTTTCTGCTGTTGGTTGCAGGTGAAGATCAATGTAGTGAACGGGGCTTTCCTCGGAGACTTCATTAATGGAATAATTACCACTTTCTGGAATATCAGTGGGAAGTAATTCTAATTTATACGTAAAATTAGAATCGTATAATTCTGTGGAATTAGAGTTATTTGATAACAATTTATTGTATACGAATGTATAGAATGCGTGAAACCCAGATTTCTCTACCCTGCTGTCTGACGTAAAATATATGTACAGTATATTTCCAGTGGAATTGTAAGTGAGATGATCATATCTCCCACACAAGAAGGTTGAGGAATTTGCAGAATCCTCTGATATTTCAATAACGTCATAAGAGGAATGATGACATGATCTCTTGATATGTTCTTCTAAATCCACTTTCACAAATGTTAGATAAATTCGGACGGTAGGTGGCGCTTCAATCTTCCACGTACAATTCTGTGTGGGCGGATACCCCGAGGGCCACCCAGGGGAGGAGATTTCTCCATACGTGTCTGTATAGTGTCCTCCACAAGCCCAATCTACCAAAAAAATATAGGTCTCTGTCATTCGCTGAGTAAAGTGGGGTTAATGCGTTATTTTATGTAAAAATTAAATGTCTTTTGCAATTAAAACAGAAAACAGTGATGCTAACATTTTACTGAGCTTTAGTACAGCTAAGACCAATTAAGGATTCCTTTCGAAGTAACCTTTTTAACTTATAATATGTTACGTGTCTATACAGAATCATATATAATTTTAATGGCGTAAACCATTTTGATTTTCATAATTGGAAGGAGAACATCCGACTTACCTGTCTTGAACTGCAATCTGAATCCAGGTGCATCTCCCTTACTATTGGTTATGAATAAAATGGTGATGATATTTGATTGGCTAATGAATTCCCGAACATTATTTTCTAAGCAAGACACTTGTTCTTTATCCACTATAAGGAGTCTATCCGAGTTTTGAATGCAACTTTTTCGAGATTCTTTAAAAAGTTGCAGATGTGTAAATGAAACTTTGATAATCTGTCAAAAGTAAGTAAATTAATGTCAAGAAATATACATAAAATCTGAAAAGATGCTTGAAAAAATCATGTTTCCATGTAACCATTGATTATAGTACCTTAAACTTGGGTACCATAATAGTCCATGAACAGTTAAGATTATGTCCATAATTCCTTGGCCAGTTAGGTGAGGCTAAATACCCGGAACTGCCTTTCAAATGTCCACTGCAATCTACATGTGCATGGATTTTGAAAATTAAGTAAATGTCATACAGACTAGAACAAACATGTATATCTTGAAACTGAAATAGAGCAAAATTGTGTAATTGAGGGAGAAATTAAAAGGAAAGATCATCAAATCATCATATTAATTGTGACACACTTTTGATAGAGGGTTTTGCTACTATTTATCTCTCCTTACCAAAGTTTGGTTTCATTTCAAAATGATGCACTTGAGATGTTCCCTGTGAAATTAAGCCACCCACATCACTTCCGGTTTTGGTGCTTAGTAAACATGTGCCCTCTTTAACCTACAAGCGCAAACCTTTAAATACTTCAAAAAGAAATATTTTGCTAGTTATGAAATAAGACGAGTTATAAATATTCAACTTTCTTCTCCAAAATCATTTTCGTTCTACGATTTCTTTTTGAAATATTATAGTACCATCTACGACTTGAAATGTATTCAATCATCTGAAGACGGGCTATTATGGCATCAAGTTTCAAAGACATAAACACAATCTGAATACTTTTTTATTTTGAATATAACCTGATAATCGAAAGATCTGCAGATAAAATTGTTTTCCTCCAAACATTTTCTGGCACACGCACTCGGTGTGACTCCAGTAACGGTTTTCTCGTTGTGTCCCAGTACGGCAGAATAGGGGGTGGGGTAAAATCGTCGAAGATAGTTGTCTGGAAGATATTTAAAACCAATTAACATTGAAAAAATAGTACATACAATGCGGCAACACACTCGACTAAGTTTACAGACGTGGGAATGAGAGATATTTCTGTCATCTACATATTGCTTTCGACACTTTTAATAAAAGTCAATGTGTGAATTGTAATTATTGTACATGTACTTTATCTTAGAAGAATTTCAATAATTCAAATGAATTTGAACTTTGTATTCGAAAAGTCAAGGTTAAAACACAAATCTAAAATAAACGATAATCATTGCTTTTTTCCCACAACCATGAACTGGACATCATTTCGATCTTTTTGTCAAAATCCTGACACCAAGATTAATGAAGGATTAAATCCATTATCTGTAGCCGATGCTAATCAACGTAGATCGCACCGAACTTGTTTGCAAACACTTGAAACATCTAATTGAAAGTGGTCAAGGCGTCACAATGTCAATAAGCCTAGCGGAATGTAATAACTAAAGGCCTCAAAAGCACAATACTGCTAACAGTTCCTGCAGGAAACCCGCCAGTGTTGTATTTTATTACCATCATTTTTTAAGACTAGATCCGAATTTCTTGGATACGATATGCTACGGAATACATGGACGTTGAATAAATGAAAAGGCTTATATTTTTTTCCTGAATGTCTCGTATCAGAAGTGGTTTTATTAAATTGAGGCAAAATCATAATAAATAGGAAATGTATATACAGTCAAACCTGTTTTAAGAGGCCACTTGTGGGAGAACGACAAATTGGCCACATAAGACAGGTGGCCTCTTATTCCAGGTTTCAAACCAAGGAATAAAAATTGCGGCCACAGTTGTATATTTATTTTCAAACGTATCCAAATCCACAATTTCAACATATTTAAAAAATTAGGAAGTTTTAAGTCACATGAGATCCTTTTTTGCATTTCATTTTACATGAATTTAGGAAAGAAATCTATTATGTTTTTTTTTTTATTTTTGTTGTTTTTTTTATGTTGGTAATTTTAACAGCTAAATAGGAATAGAATTTACATCACACAAAATCATGAAATGATCTAACAAAATGCAAGTAGCATTTCCCTGATGCTGTGCAAAGCCTTTTAGTTTTTCTAGATATGTATTATATAGGGTTATAGCTCAAGACTGACCACTTGACTTGATAACCTCAGACGAAATTGTAAAATTTTATTATGTATTGAGTTTATATCATGGACATATTCAACAGCTGTTCATCAACTTACTTTCGTTTATAAAGGACAAAAAAAAAATTGTTTACAATAAATAATTTAATCATATTAATTAAATCATTAAATCCTGACAGAATTCAAATTACACTCGCAATACGCAAGTTTCGAGATTATCTCCCTTGGTGCGCTCTTTCGTTAAGGAGGGGAGTTTCGTTGCCGCGTAAACAAACAGGTGGGACAACTATATTTGATATTTATATATTGGATACATTGTATCATCGATATACTGGTTTATCATAACTACATGATTGTCAGGATGCACTCTACATTTCGAGAATAACCGAATTAATTTAAAGAAGTCATTTTTTAAAGTTAAAAAATCGTAACAAAAAAGAAAATGTCGGTAGATGTGAGACTTTTCAGACGAGGGAAGATATATGAACCTCTAATAAATACGGCGCGTATGCACGTCGGCATCTAAATGACACATTGATTCTTTTCCTTATTATAATTTCAAAAAACCCACAAACTTTTTTAAAAAAAAAAAAAGGTTGTACGATCAAGAAAATCAGTTACTTTTTATTAAGACTATGACGTTTCTTTCGTTTTCAAGTACCTATAATTTTAAAGTAGATTTGTAAATATGCATAGTTGAACTTGATAAAATCATCAAATGCATCACTGCTTAATATCATTATCTTTTTATAACATTTAATAAATTTTAAAAGCCATAAATATCGTTCATTTACTTATGCACGTTTGTGTACAGAAACAACCTGTCCCACCTCCCTGCCGAAATGGATACTTTTTGCGCCTCTATCGTAGGAGAGTTACAATCTCGAAACTGGCGTATTATCGGTAATTACTCATTATCAGCTGTTCATGTTTGGCTTCTCGAGGATACGAGGTCACGTGCCAGACGGAAGTCATGTGACAAAACAGACAAAATGGCCGCTGAAAACAGGCATGTTGACCGCACGGGACCTAAAAACACTGGCCACTGGCCGCGTTAGACAGGTGGCCGCTTAAATCAGTTAAAATATAGTGAAAAAATGAATGGGCGGGATTGAAACTGGCCGCTCATGAGGAGTGGCCGCTGATTCAGGGTGGCCGTAACAGCAGGTGCGACTGTATTTTCTTTTATTAAAATAGTTAATACCTTTGTACTCGTAATGTGCAACATTTTTGTCGTCTGTTCGAGTTGTCACCAGACCGTAGACATTGGCTGCGATGTACATGCTCAAGTAACAAGATTTGTCATCAAAAACATAGTCAAAACTCGTGCATTTGAATGAGTTTTCTGCGAGACAAAGATGTGCACAGGCGACAAGTGAGACCCCCATCACTGTCTTGTGATATATATGTTCTCCTTCTAATTGCTGCAGACTACCATATCCAAAATTCAGAAAGTACTCAAGAGGACCACCTGAAAAGATTAAGTTAGAAATAAGGATTATATTGCATTCAAAATCATTAACCTTCAATGATATAGTCATTTCTATATAACATATATGTACTAGTGTGTCAAATATTTTTCAGAGGAATTTCAGGACTTTTTTTTCGACCTACTAGATTGTCGTTCGTAGTAGTCCGTGTTGACTTGTGGAATGAGTCCATGGGAAGCAGACGGCAGGATGTCTGTCAACCAACAATTCTTATGTTTAACCTCGTAATCAAAACCCAGGCATCGGAAGGTCACCTCAAGGACACACATTCTGGCGCACTGCTCCACGCTGATTTCGGATATCTGACGTTTGTGGTCAAAGGTCAGTAAGTGATTTGGAAGACGGTGGAATAATCCCTCAAAGTATGCTGAAAATCAAGAAACATACAAATGGTTTCATTTCCGCATTTGCAAGAAACTTTATTTCTCTAAGAATATATTTAGCTTTTCGTCGTTTTCTCACTTATTTTTTAAGCGTTCTTTATCGAGATGAAATTTCCGAAAGTGATTTGTAAAACTTCCCTGTAAACATCGCTATCAGATCATTGTAAAGCTATTTAATATTTTATTGGTTGCAAATACATGAAGATATGCTACTTAAAAGTTTAAAGTGTAAAATTTGAAATCAGACATCTTTTTGGGGCACCATATTTTTTCACAGCAAAAACTGGGTTTATACTGAACATCCTCGGCTATATATTGAGGCAGAACCTTTTGAACACTCTCAACATTTTAAATCAATACAAATGTTGTTCTTTTGAATAATTTTTTGCTTACTGACTGTAATATAAAGGGGGTTAAAAAGCCGAAGCCAAATTGACAAAACCGTGTGCTCCCATCTTAGATCATTACTCTCGTATAGACTTGATGAATGATATTAATGCAAAGACATGGAAACAAATTTTCATGCGTTCAGACTAGCACTTCCTTAAAACTGAATGGATGTTTAAAGGAGGTATCGAACTTTCAAAAGCCTTGCTGTACACCGGTTGTATTTCATTCCAATAAAAATTCCAAAATTTGATAGGTGGAGTATACTCTTTATAAAAATACCATAAAATCCAAAGTTTGTCTGAATTTGAATCACTTATGGAAAAAAATCATAGATTCCATTTATAGAAATACTGTCAACGGCCTCTAAAACGTAACCCTTGGACATTTCGTGACAAAAATTGTCTAAATTTGTACTACATTTGACCTTTTTTTGGTCGTTCATTTTGCAATGTGGCTAAGCATAGATAACCTGTTTGGTAAAAACAGTCCTTACTTCTGTAGTGATCTGTGCTTTTGGACACAATCAGAGCCATATCATTGCTCTCGTGAGTGTTATTATGTAATCTACATGACTGAATCTTGTTGTCCATGTCAAACGACTGGCAGTCAAAGGAACTCTCCTGAACGCACGATCTCGCACAGGCCTCAACACTGAGATTGTTTAAAGTTTTTATTGGAAAAACAGTCATCCTCAATTTTGGCATCCGATGAAACAACGATTTGTAGACTATGTCACCTGTAAGAAAAAGATGCTTCATTGTTCATATAATAACGTTAATGGTAGACCTTTGTTTGTATTGAAAGTGTTTCTAAGGTAACATTGGTGTAATATAAAGGCAATCATTTCTATCATCTGGGAAAATGAAAAGAATTTAAGTATATACCTTTTTATTGCTATTTCAGAATATGTGTATGTACAACTTTATATGTTTTTAGTTTTTGAAAAGCAATTAAATATTCAATGAATTGTTGCAACATTGAGATGGTTATTTTCAAGTACTGGTTTACTGTTAGTATTAGAAATTTACATTTCTATTTTGAAGTTGACACGGAAATGAGGCTATGTTTTCTATGTTTAAAACGCTTCCGATATATTGTTGCCACCCGAGAACAAGAACGTATTACTTTGTAATTATCCTAACACTTTACAGATTTAGATACAAGGTTTGAAATAGAAAACATGGTGCTTAAGATAACTACACACCTCCTCTTAGCTCATCCCCCCTCAACATTGATTCCACATTAAAAGAATTTCAATTTAGAGACAATCCAAAAGGTTTGTTACATGCGGCGGAGTTTATTCAAACTCTTGTGACTCGAGATAAAAATGATGATCGTTTTCTCTGATCTTTTCACAATTTCTGCCAGGAAACAACGACCGGTACTTGACTTAATCAAATTTAAGAAACATATCTTTTTTCTTATATATTTTCTCGTAAAATATAATTTTGTTATAAGTGGTAGTGAGTTTTTTAGATTTGGTTCCTCTAGACTTGGGCTAATCTCGGCGCTTTTATTGCTACAAGAGATACTTATCCCTCATTTATAAATCTCCGGCCACTTGCATGAAATTGAATTAATTTCTCTATGCGGAGCCGTTTGGGTGTCATAACCAATGTCGAGGAAGAACAAAATGGACCCGACAGATCGGAAGTGCCTGACAAATGTCATATATTTTGTCATAAAAACCCTTTAGTGATGAAAGAGTTGACAATTCCAACTCTCTGGCCAAGACATGACGAAAATCACTCAAAGGAGTTAGTCGTCTAGACAAAGAAATGATTCTTTTATAAGAAATGAGTACAGATATATACATTATTCTCCTTAGAGAAGTGGACAGGCTTTAGGACTTCTCCAAAGAGAATAAAATAAACATGTTGATATATTTTCCTACCCCTAGCAATGGTGGGAGGAAAGGGGACTGGTGGGGGCCACAGGTTTACCTTCTTTATCACAAATTAGGGGTGCCCTGCGTATAGACATCCATGCAGAAACAAATTACAGAGAAAGGGGGAAAAGTTGAGAGGTAATCACTAATCTTGACTCGAACCATCTTTAATTAGATCCATTGATGTTATGGAGGGAAATGGTATTCAATTATAATTGGAGGTTAGAAATGTTTATAGTCGTGTGCGCGTTATGTGGGGTTAATATTTGCGGAATGATAGCGTCCACCCTTTATACCATCGCCACAGTTCTGTGTTATCCTATATAAGCTGACTTCATCCAAACGCTGAAATATGAGAGGACTTGTGCTGTATACACGTTGGGGGTTAAGACTTTTAATTATAAATTACGATTATATTTAATTATAAATTACGATTATATTATTTACCCCCATACGTTAAAAGAAATAACAATTTAAGCCACGAATACACTGTAATCAGGCAAAACGATCGTACTATGCACTCGGAATATTACCAATGCAAAATAATGATTATCATTTTTATTAAGGGGGATGTGTATATCGGATCCTAACTGGCGTAAATAATTTCCTTTGCTTATAGTAAAATATGCCAAACCATGTTCAATGTTAATTAAAAGGATGTTCACAGTTTTTGTGACAATCGGGCATCTGGTAGGGTTCCCTAGTTCAAAAGATTAAAGAAAATAAATATAAATTTTTTGAGCTATTACAAGGTACACATTTCTTTCTAGAGACATTGCATGTATGTAATGAATTAAGTTATTTTCATCCTAGGATTAAATTGAAATATTCAGCGAATTCCTGATTGAATTATTCAAGATTATGTCTTATTCAATTTTTTCACATTCTTGGTATAAATGTATTGCGATAGTGTATACCATTTACTTATTTCATAATTGCTTGTAGCATTTATTTTATTTATTTGTTAAATTTTGATTTCAGCTATTCAATAAATTTCAATAACAGCACGAATGACGAATGCCAGGACATTGAAATTATTTATTTTGTACCATCAATAGAATTTATTTCTCATCTGGAGTCAATTCAAATTTTTGTTCAATTCAATCAAAATAAATATATATATAAATATACATGTATATCGATTTAGATGTAAAAATCAAATTCAATCATCAAATGTTTCTGCTCCTTGCGAACAGCATATATTATTTCATTAAAAAAATTCTTTTAACTTCTTTATCTTTAAATATTTTACAATAATTTCAGAGAAAGAAGTATTGAAAAGTCGACTTACTTTGTACAAGACAGCAAAACGAAAGGATCCACACCACAAAATGAAAGGTATCCATGTCATTCAAATCACATACATGTATAAAATTATTTTTCTTGAATCCGCCACTCAATTTATGAGAGCTGTGTAAAACGTAATCTTCAAAGCTTCAAAGGCTCCGAGTGAGTGACTCGGAATATCCGTTCCATTGAGGTCGAAACACATCGTTTTCTTATAGATCACGTGGTGTTTGTTGGGGGTCTCTGATGAAAGGCAAAATTGTTTGATTTCGTATCTTAAAAAATCCATTGTAGAAGCTAAGTGACCGTAAAGGAATCAATATATGTTCCCGGAAATATTTATTGTGACAAATTGAATGTTATCATCGTATCCTCTGAATTTATAATAAAAGAGTAAATTATTTAGTTATGAGATAAATCTTGATCTGAAGCTGAAGAATTAGTTTGTTTCTTTCTTTTTCACTTTCAAGGTTATTTTACAAAGCCAGAAAAATATATTTGTGTAAAAATACAAAATGTCTTTTCTGCTATCATCATAAAAAATGGAATATTGCCTTTTTTTCCTTTACGATGACGAGCACACCAAGATTTGTTTGTTACGTTCAAAGCATTAGTTTTAATATAGTCATTTCACATTAGAAATTTTGTAATACCTGCCACCGGTAAATTCAAAATTTATATGAAACACGGGGGCATAAAATCTAGGTATAAACTGAATCTTTGGTTCATCAACAGCATCATTATACATGTATATGGTAAAACTTGGCAAATTTTAACGCACATGTACTTAAAGCAAATGCATAATTAAAACGGTTTCTGTCTGGCAGTGCCCATACTAGAGAGGGAAGTAGAATAAATTATTTAAAATAGCCTCTTTACATATTTAAATTAAAAGATGAAAACATTTTGTACTCTGTTTTATTTAAATGTGACTGTAATTTTCAATTAAATGGATACAAAAGTATAAGATCAAAGAGATTGTTGCAACTGTCTTTAGATAAACTGATGTAAAATGTTAAAATTTATAAGATCAATACTTAGTAGTTCTAACATGTCGACGACGCAGATTTAATAAAAACTAACTTTCACTTTTTCTCCTTTCTAGATTAAATGTCATATATATTATTTAAGTTTTATAGATATACGTTTTAAACTGAAAAAAATTGATTGATGGAATTTTGAAGAATTAACAATAAGTAAGAAAAATTAAACTGGTTTTACAGAGTTTCTTACACGAACAAAGAGCGTATTCTCACCTCATCATAATGAGTACACCATATACAAAATTGTCTGATCACCTCAAAATACTAAAAGTTACTTTTGTCATGGGAAAAATCTTGGAAGAAATATAATTCATTTAAATCAACAAATACAATGTGGCACTTTATTATTTCATTTTGTTAATATGACAAATAAGATGCAAAGATTCTTTCAGTTTATAATACTAGTACATGTATAAAAATATTTAAAAGACTATACTATTTTCGTTATAATGTATTTTTTCTTTAAAGAAACATGAAGATAACAAAATAAATTAAAGAAACTTTTGTTCAGAGGGTACAAAAATATAAAGTTCACTTAGCCAACGTGAGTTCACAGAGAGACACTGTGCTTATCTGGTATCCAGTTTCTTTTAGAGAGGGCAGATTGTCCCCTAGACACAAACAGATAGGACCAAACAACCCACGGGAACACTACTCACAACGCACAATTCAATCAATTAGTGATGATTTTTACAAGCAAGTCCAGAAACTTCTAGTCTGATGTTCCCAGTTAGGTAATGCGATTATCGTAGAACGTCTTGCCATGAAAGTATCTTTACATCATGCTATTGAATGACACACATTAAGTCATAAAATCATCAAAGAAGATCGTATTCTATAATTGTGTTAACAATAGAATCCTGTTTTGGAATGCCATGTTTTTGTAGATGTAGATGATCAACTTAAGGGGCCTGTAATTTTTATTGCCCTCATAAGGATAAATGCTTAGTCGATATAGTAATCATGAACTGAGCTTGGAAGTGTGATTCATAGTACAACTATCAAAATGCGTCGACTTCGAAAAAAAGTATCATAAACTCAATGACTTGCTTTTTTGCTGCGCATTTTATTTTAAAAAACACTCCAGCAGGCACAGAAAGAGAGATTTATTTTTCAAGAATAATCCCTCAAAGCATCAGATACAGTTTTTATGTAAAGCATTTCTTGAATAAAAACTGTTGATAGTATCTTTTTCACTTTTAGATCATTATTTAGATATTTGCAGACTCGGAAAAGAGATGGTTTAATTTACAAAACGGAAGCCACGAACCTGAATTGCCCGTTGTATAAAAGAACATCGTGAGATTTGAAAGACATGATTCACATTATGAGTGCATGTGTATTGTCTTAAAATCATTGGTTTAAGTACATAAACACTTGGTCTATCTTAATACAAAAATCATATGTTTGTAGAAAACAAGCTTTTTTCAGATTTTCACGACTGCAAATACCATAAAAAGATTAAAAGAACACGTAAACCAATTTCTAAATTTTGCGGAATAACACTTTAAAAAATCAAAATTAAACACGAAGTCTGTGAGCCAACGCTCACTAGTAATACCCCACCCTGATGTGAATATAACTATCGATATCATGTTAAGGAGGTTCTGGGATCAAAAGATTAACCAGCAGAATTAACTTAAATTTTAGATATGATATCTTAAGCTGTCAACTATCATATGACAAAGAAAAAATTCATACATTTTAGTTTTAAAATTTGATCATTTTTTATATCTTTATGTGGAGCTTTTCTTCTAAAGATGGATATAACCCCAGCCCCTTTCATTTACAAAAGTTCAGTTAAGGGCAAATTCACGGACCAATACGAAGTTGAAATAAGATTCATACAAAAATAAATCCCGTCTTATGGCATGCTATAACAAAGTACTATTTTGTGTTAAAATTTCATGCATCTGCAATGGACAGTTGCTGAGAAAACTGCAACAAAAATTTGTCATTAATATATGGTATGGGCAGATGCACGGATAAACAGGAAGTGGACATCAGATTTGAACAAATAGAATTCCACCATATATCATGTCTCATTAAAGAATATGCAAAAATTTCAAGCATCTGCGATGAATAGTTGCTGAGAAAACTGCGCCGAAGATTTGTCATGTATGGTACGGACAGACACACGGAAAATGATGAAGTTGACATCGGATTTGAACAAACAAGAATCTCATCATGAATGCTCCATGAAAAGGCAGTGATAAAATTTTAATTATATCTGCGATGAGTAGTTGACGAGAAAACTGCGACAAAAAAATTGTTACGGACAGAAAATTGACAGACACACAAAAATTGTTATGGACTGGGGGTATAATTAGAAAGACAAGGCGTCCTGAAAACTATGGATTTTACTTTAAATACCGGGGTATATTTCGTTTTGTTTGGTTTCGTGGTTTTGTATGATTTCGTTTCTGGTTTTCAATTTCGATAGTTTCCATTTGCACTTCCATGTACAATGTTTAATTAAAAAAAAATATGATTTATAATTACTAATATATATGCAGAATCTGCTGGTCAGCATATGGGAGTCAAGATACTGCAAATATGGGTTTACCATCACATGATCCATATCAGTTGTGACGCTCATATTTTCCGTAGATTGATTGATTGTATGTTGTTTGACGTCCCTCGCGAGAATTTTTCACTTATATGGAGACGCCACCACTTGCTGGTGGAGAGCTACAATTTGTTTTGTCCTATACTTGGACATGCGGGCCATTGAGCAGTGAAGGATCTTTTTCGTGCCAGCACCTACTACGACACGGGACCTCGGTTTATTCTAGTGCTGGGACTATACAACTTTTTCTATATAGAAACGTATCACGATATTTGAACCACGATACGATATGTATCACGATATGTTTAATTGCTTATAAAATCTTCTCTTTTTTTGCATAGAAATAAACAAATTATTTCTTTGGAAATAAGAATAATTTACTCAAAATAGTTGTTTATATGTTGTAAAACAAAAATATTTTACTGCAGTGGTTTTAATTATTATTTATTTCATATCTAGCTTATTTGTTTTATATATTAAACCCCAAATGTTAAATAACCCCCCAAAAAAAGAACTCAGATTTTTTTGGGCGATATTTCAATATTTCTTCATATGTATCGATATGCATATCGTCCTCACATATATCTCAATATATCGTCCCAGCCCTAGTTTATACGGTCTCATCCGAAAGACCGGTCTCCACGTCCCACATTGGGATTCGAAGAATCAACTCCTTACTTTGCGACTCTAAAGCAGACTCTCTAGTCACTGCACCACGCGGGTGACCATATTTTCTGTATGGAAAATGGAAGCTTAATATTTTTAGAGGAAAAATTAGTAGGTGTATGCCATATACTGTATACTAATTGAGGCTTACTACCGGTACATTTACTCTACCAACAACAGAAGGATTGCATGCCACGAATTGCTTGCCACCAATAAGTGGTATTGCGCTGGTGCATTGAAGTATGTAGGAGCTGACAACAGAAAAGTCTACCTTACCTTTTAAACTTTTACCTACAAGGACACGGTATAAGGACAGCTTATTGGATAAAACATATATTATGCAACATAAGTTAGGGTTTGGCATTATCATCATAGTATGCGTCCTAATAAAGCATACACTGCTAGTATATGTGAACCCATGTATGACGTAATTTGCTAAGCAATGCTGTTATTTGATTGATTGATTTTATATATTGCTTCATGTCCCTCTCAAGAATTTTCTCACTCATATGGAGACGCCACCACTTACCGATGGAAAGCTGCAAATTTTGTCCTATACTCGGAACTCAGGGCCATTGAGCAGGGAGGGATCTTTTTCGTGCCAGCACCTACTGCAACACGGGACATTGGTTTATACGGTCACGTCAGAAGGATCGGTCTCCACGTACCTCGGTGGAATTCGGACCCGCGACGTAAGGATCAACTATCTATTTCGCGACTCTAGAGCAGACGCTCTTACCACTGCGCCACGCGGGCGACTGGTATTATTTGAAGAGAAAAGTTGTTTGTTAGTTTTATCCAAACCATCCGGATTCTGGGAATCAGGTACGTAGTGGTCTCTACAAAATTTCTAGGGGTGAACATCCACAAGAGCCTTGGATAAATTGACCTCCTGGCGTGACGACCAATGCCAGAAACGATTTGCTCGATTTGTTGAACTTCAATTTGCAATCATCATTGTGACCCCAGCACTAGCTATATACCCCCAGTACTCTCCAAGGACAAATGTAAAGTGGATGCACAGGATACTGTTCAACCTGTTCCTATATTAATCTTTAGTTTAAAAAATGTCTAACATTTCCAATGTTTTACTGGTGCTCATAAAATACTATTAATCGATGGGTTATCGCGGGTTGAGATATTGGACCTATCGCAGAGTTGTTGGACTGCTTGCGTCACACAATGGACGGGATCAGCTAATTCTCATTTGCACTCGGTGTTCGACAGTGACAACACTGACCGTGTTTAATCTCATTTCACGTAAAGAAATTTACATCACGGAAACCAGCAAGAGATACATGTATGTTGAAAAATAAAAGGTATTAATAACAAAACATTTATTAACCGTGCAATCAGTATTTCTTCAACCCCTTGATTCAAACCGTTTGCCTACGGCCTAACGACCTCAGGCAAACAATTTGGTTCTTGTGTCTGACCAAACGCATGCTGCCCTCGAACCCCATTAATAAATTGTACAAAGTCTGTGCTTAATAAAACAAATGCAGATTTCTTTTAACACAGTCATAGAATGCCCTCTTCTAAGACATTGCCAGAATCTGGAACAGTTTGCCACGGTGAGAAGACAGTAACTAATTGAACCTGTGTATCTTGTCACACCTTGGGATGGTTATATTTTGAAAGATACTAGTATTCGTTGTATAGCTTCAATTTTGGCCCATGAGTGCCGATGACAAAGGTCAAAATTTGAAGCCCTTCACTTCGGCAAACGGTGACGTCTCCGTTTCCCATGGCAGTTATATTTTCCGGTCTTTTCTATGTTTTGAGATGTAATAGACGCTGATCTTATAAAACAAAATCCAATCATAATGAATTTAAGAAGTTTGCCTTTTGTCAGAGATCTGTAAGAACAGTTTGAATCACGGCTTGATATCAATTGACTTATTAAATCTAATTGAACTTTTGTCTGTGTATCCTTGTAACACCTTGGGATGGCTCATATTTTAAAAGAGACATGGTGGAATCTAACGGGTGATAGTTTAGGTGGTATTTTGGTTTGATGAACATTATTATTTTTGCACGGATAAGGCTCAAAGAAGTTGAAATCATTATTCAGGATCATTTTCATCTCATTTGTAGTTTGTTTTTAAAAGAATTCTTGCAAAAGTATATAGAACGTTGCGTCTGTTTGTAGGTTTTGCGGTGATGTCATGGATAAAGAAGACTTTTTCCTGTGTATATGTTTCTGGATTAAGTTCTGTTTGATAGTCCATATCCGTTTTCTATGGACAAGCATTTTTATTTCCTCTTTCTACTTGGTGCTTCTCCACAGTTTTAAGATGTAATAGTCCACGGACTGTAGTTTTGTATAAACTGCAAAACAGAATTAAACTGACTGAAAAGGCAGTTAAGAAGTTTGCATTTTGGAAGAAATGTAAACACCAAAACCTCAGTGAGGGACAAACAAGGAAAATTATCACTAGCGATGTAGGACAAAGACCTAAATGGGTCTTGAATGGTGCAACTCCGACCATCCAGTCTTGATATCATTTGAAAAGAAGTCTTTATATCTGCAGTGACCACCATCTAGAACAGAAATCACAAAGGCTATAAAGTCAGGTGAAAATGGAAAAGCATCCTCTACGTAGTTCTTCTATCATTCAATCTCTTAAAAAATGGTATCTTCTTTGCGTTTCCTGTTCTTACTGTGTACTTGGTTTAACTACCCAAGAAAGGGGGACATGTCGCAGTGTGGAAATTGGAGAAAAATCATGTTTTTATCCATTGCCAGTAAGATCCTAACTAGAGTAATCTTGGAAAGAATTAAAAAAGCATTGGACGAGGAACAAAGATCAGAGCAAGCAGGGTTCCACCAAGACAGATTATGCACATATCACATTGCCACACTTCGTATTATCATCGAACAGTCCATTGAATGGCAGTCTCCTCTTTACTCAGTCTTCATGGGTTTTGGGAACGTCTTTGACAGTGTGGATAGGACAACCATCTGTAGATTAATGCAGCATTATGGAATACATGTACCACCAAAGGTCATAAGTGTCATCAGGAATATGTATGATGATGCAAAATGTCACATCATTGATAATGGGAAGCTCACAGATCCTTTTAATATGGACACAGGAGTAAGTCTGACTGCATCCTCTCACCATATTCCTGATAGTCATTGAAATAACAAAGGGCAATGAGACCGGAATCCAGTGGACCCTCACCAAACAGTTGAGGACATGGATTTTGCAGATGGCATTGACCTGCTCTCGTACCAGCAACAAGATGCTCAAGAAAATCTATCACGATTGGAACCAGAGGCTCAAATGAGTGACCTACAAATAACCACCAAGAAGACAGAGATGATGAGAATCGACAACACACAAGAAATAGGAATCCAGTTTTAAAATGGGGAGAACATCAAAGAAAACAACAGATTTTCTTATTCCGGGAGTATCGTAAACAAGGACGGTGGTGCAGATGATGAAGTCAAAAACCGAATTACTCCAGTAACAAGGCAAGACATGCTTTAAATACACTACGACAAACCTTGAATTCTAAAGCACTCTCCATCAACAACAAAATCAGGATTTTTAACACAAATGTTAAAGCAGTTCTTTTTTAAGGTTCCGAAACCTGGAAGGTAACAAAACAATAAACAACAAACGGCAATCTTTCACGAATAAATGCCTCCGCCATATCCTTAACATTAGATGGCCTTATACTAGGGATGTCAATCTTTCATTCGATGAGTATATTCGAATATAAATTCATGATTCGAATATTCGGATTTTAAGTATACAAGCATCAAAAAGAAAAAATAATCTGGCAAAAACTGAAGTTTTATCAGAAATTGAATCAAATTCTCATCGTTGACCAATAATAAGATTTTATTTAAAACAAAATTAAAATACACTCCTCTTGGATTACCTTAAAGGTGTGAAGAATGTGTCTATTAAAATGATATAATTATTCATTTGATCATTTAATCAGAGATATAACAGTGTCCAGTACTTATAATTAGTTTGTATTGTTGAAAGGACACATTTTTGTTTATGCATACATCATTTAAAATCATTATCAGGAAAGTAGTTAGCTAAAAGTAATAGCTTTTAATGTTTCTCCATTAGATAATTGTGCTCTGTGGTATAAATCTGTAGGGTTATCAGTGTACACTTTGGTAAGATGATTAATTAATCTGTAACATATTAAAAGAATCTTTTGAATTTTCAGGGGAATTTTTTTTTATTACATTTTGGATATTAGCTCTTCATATATTCTGAAAAATATTTTAAGAATATAATTAAAGTGCATTTACAAAACTCTACATGAAATTTTATTCCAAAATAATGACGTAAAACGTATATATTGCTTTACAAAAGAGTGAAGATATATACATATTATAATGCAAGATGCATAAAATTTATTTTATCGAATATTCGAATATATTCGAATACTACTACCGAATATTCGAATATCAATTATTGACAATTTTGACATCCCTACCTTATACCATATCAAATAAAAGCCTATGGGAGGGAACGAACCAAAATCCCATATGTATTGACATAAAAAAGGGGGTTGGATAGGCCACAATTTACTCAGATTTGTAATCAACATTACAAAACAGGCTCTGGATTGGAATCCACAAGGAAAGAGGAGGGTAGGGATACTTAAATAAACCTGGAGATCCATGGAAATGGAGGCTAAAAAGGCAGGTTTTACCTGGACATTATTAAAAAGGATAGCCCAGAACAGAGTCCGATGGCGCGGTGTGGTTGTTGCCCTATGCTTCCCAAGGAGCGAACAGGAATAATGAGATAATATTAATAAAATAAATAGAATTCAACAATTAAATCCCCATTTATAAGAATCTCCCATTTGAAAAATTCAAATTTTTCCTGTTGTTCAACAGGTTCTTTCTCTTTAGAAATATTGCATATTCCATGACAAAACGATCTAAAAAATTGAATAACGATTGTAAATCAATTACCCTTCATTTAATTGATTAGGAAATTTTAGTTCTCAACATCAATGTGAAGGAATTTTCTCTCTCTTCGTTGTATTTGAGATATTGAAGGTCAAAGAGGTCGGTAATTATGATTGTACTTTGGATAACAGTGACGGTATGACAAATGACCTGATGGAGCAAAATGTCAACACAGTAAATTAGCTAGATCTATATCAGCTCTCCTACAGCATGAATCTTTTGTATACTCTAATGAAGACAGTCATTGCTGCCGTTATAAGGAAGCAGGTCAACGGAACTGACCATGTGCTTTACAGTCTCCTGGGGTTTGTTTTATATCTAGGATTAGGTAATCGCCGATTCATTAATTGAATAACTTCCTTGATTGACATAATTATGTTTTATTTGCTTTAAATAAATGAATTGTAAATAATCGTGATTGTGAATTTCACAAAATATCTATAATCAGAGAAAAAGTCAGTCATAAGTACTCTTTTAATAATTATATGAGATGAAGAAACACCTACTGTGATCAATTAACTCGACATTTAGATATATCGTAGTTCGTGTTATCATTTAACAATAGCTATTTCCATTCATATGTCAACACGATATATCCTTGTGAGCTTGATTGATTGATTTTATGTTGTTTAACGTCCCTCTCGAGTATTTTTCACTCATATGGAGACGCCACCACTTAATTGCCGGTGAAGAGACAAACTTTGTCCTATACTCGGTACTTAGGGCCATTGAACAGTGATGGAGCTTTTTCGTGCTAGCACCTACTGCGATACAGGACCTCGGTTTGTACGGTCTCATCCGAAGGACCGGTCTCCACGTCCCACAGTGGGATTCGAAACCGCGATGTAAAGCTCGACTCCTTACTTCGCGACTCTTAGAGCAGACGCTTTAACCACTCGCCATTGTGAGCTTGAAATAAAATTGTGAGCTTGAAATAAAAAGTACAATACAGTACGACACATCTGTTTCATATTTAGATATTTTTGACTAGAAAGAAGGTTAGTGGTAATCTAACTATAAAACTATGAAATAATTAATGTGCATTACTTTTCAATCTCACTCTTAGCAATATTTTAAAAGTAATAGCCTTTTCATGGGTTTGATCCATAAATAGAAACATATTCTTCTTCCCTTTATAGAGTGTACTCAAATTGAGGTCAATAGTCCAGTAATTCTGTGGTGAACAGTTAAAACCCATGTATATATGTATTAAAAGGGGTAAAAGTTAGAAGTGGACAGTATAGTGTAAAATCTCAGACACGCTAATGGTATGTATAGCATGTCTCAAGGTGTCCATTGATGGTGAATTCTTAATTGTGTCTGGTATACTGTTCCATGCTATGGTAGTTGCTGGTATGAACGACTATTTGTAGACATCAACTCTGGTGCTGATTTGGCGGATTTTGTTTGTTATAAAACCACGAGGTCTTCTATTAGTGACATATTGCACATAATGTACCAGAACTTCCACAATGTGATGGTAAGTTTTGTAGAACATGATCACACGGTTCCGGGTTCTGATGTTCTTATGGTTCCCTGCCGAGTTGATATAGCATAATGGTCAGTTGGTCACCTGGATACCTTGATGAGTACTAGTAATCACCAGTGGTGAACCTTGCTGCCCTGTGCTGAGCATCTTTTAGGTGTTGGATTAAATAATGTTGGTAAGGATCCCAAACCACTGAGGCATATTCCAATACTGGACGTACTAGTGTGGAGTATGCCTTGCTTCTGACAGCCTATGGGCAACTTCTGAGGGTTCCTTCGTAAAAATCCTACCGTGGCCTTCGCAGCTATGACAGATCTTTGCTAATTGTGATTCAAAGGTATTTACCACTTGGGAAATCTTCCAATGTATGTTTATGCAGTGGGTATGATTCTTTCATTAGATGGTGTTTCTTAGAAATAATACACTTCTGAGGATGGAAAGGCATCTGCAAGTATTTCTCTAATTTCTCAAGTGCACATAAGTCCTGTTGAAGTTGGACTGTGTCATTGATTGATTGGATTGTCCTGTAGATAAGACGGTCGTCTGTAAATAATTCAACATTTAATGTTACCACCTCTGGGAGGTCATTGATGTAGGCAAGAAATAATAGGGGAGCCATAACTGTGCCTTGAGGTACCCTGGAGTTCACGTCTGCTATTTTGGAGGACATCCTTTCAACCAATACTCGCTGTTTTCTGTCTGATAAGAAACTTTCTAGCCATTGTAGAGTGCAGCCACGAATCCCATAATAATTTAGTTTGCAGGGGAGACGTTGGTGTGGTACCTTATCGAATGATTTTGCCCCTTTCGAAGAAGGGAGGGTACATGTATATTGCTTTGCTGTTGTTTGTCGGTCGGCCGATCTGTCGGTCCACTTAGTTTCCGTTCATTTTCTTCACAACCCTTGCACATACTGAAATGAAATTTGATATACAGATTTATCACAAGAATATCTATGTCAAGTTGTGTTTTTGGTACGATCGCACCATTTTTGACAGAGTTATGCCCCTTGAACTTAGAAAAACTGCAATTTTTTACAGTTCCGGTACAGAGGTTGCACATACGGAAATGAAATTTGGTATACAAATTTATGAGATGTATACCTAGGTCAAGTTCTGTTTTGGGTATGATTGTGCCATTATTGACATAGTTAAGTCCTGGACTTAGAAAAATTCCAATTATTTGCAGTTTCCGTTCATTATATTCGCAGAGGTTGCACGTACTGAAATGAAATTTAGTATACAGAATTATCAGAAATATCTAGGTCAAGTTCTGTTTTGGGTATGTTAGCACCATTCCTGATAGATTTATGCCCCTTGGACTTTGGAAAAATTCCAATTTGGGGAGGGGGCATAAGTGTTTTACATATATCTCTTGTGTTATGATAGGGTTCCTTTAAAAGTGGTCCATGATGTTGGAATGGAGAATGTGTTCCAAGATTTTGGAGCAAAATGCCGTTAGAGATACAGGACGGTAATTAGCCGCTGTAATCTTGTCGCCTCTCTAAAAGATAAACGCCTGAGGCCATGGTGCAGTGGTTAGAGCGTCTGCTCTAGAGTTGCGAAGTAAAAAGTTAAACCTAACGTCGCGGGTTAGAATCCCGCTGTGGGACATGGAGAGCGGTCCTTCGGATGAGACCATATAAACCGAGGTCTCGTGTTGCAGGTGCTGGCACAAAAAAGATCCCTCCCTGCTCAACGGCCCTCAGTGCCGAGTTTAGGACAAAATTTGCAGTCTCCACCGGCAATTAAGTGATGGCGTCTCCATATGAGTGAAAAATTCTAGAGAGGGACGTTAAATAATATACAATCAATCAAGGCCCATATCCACCATCAGTGCCGGTGTAATCTCCTCTGCTAGTTCCTACCGAAAACGTGTTGATATGGATCAAAATTTGAATACACCACATGAATTGGTGATTATGCTGT